AAAAAAAAAAAAAAAGAAGTGCACATTAGATGAGAAAACGGATTCTATTCCTAGGATATATAATATCAATTGAGTATTTGCTGCTTTGAAACAACTCTGTTATATTTGATTCATTCAGCTTTATTCATTTCCAGGGCCAAATGCATTGTCTGATACAAAGTAAAAACTCAAAAGTGGAAAAAAATGTCAATTTGAATTGGTTTTTTAAAAAATAACATTTCTATTTTCCTTCAAGTTACTAAAAAAAAGAACTACAGAAACCATCTTTTTGTTTACATGCTTGTTCTACAATAATAAATTATGTGCTTCAAAAGTAAGTTTTAGTGCATAATCATATAATCACTAAACATGTCCTTTGTGAATGTAGTCTCTGAAAAAATGGAGACAAAGAATGACCAGGGTTCAGAAAACACATGAGCTCAAGTGTTTTTCAGATGATCTTCAATCACAAGAAACTCTTAATAAAATCATTTTAGATTTCAAAAGTTTTGAGGACTGGGCTTGGTGGCTCAGCCTGTAATCCCAGCACTTTGTGAGGCCAAGGTGAGTGGATTGCCTGAGTCCACGGGTTCGAGACCAGCCTGGGCAACCTGGCGAGACCTCATCTCTACAATAAATCAAAAATTAGTCGGGCGTGGTAGCATGCACCTATGGTTCCGGCCACTTGGAAGGTTGAGGCAGAAGGATTGCCAGAGCCCAGCAGGTTGACACTGGAGTGGCCGTGAGTGTGCCACTGCACTCCAGCCTGGGTGACGGAGTGAGACTCCAACTCAAAAATAAAATAAAATAATTAAAAGTTTTGAGAATTTATAATTTTGTGTTTACTTCTCAAGTAAGACATACTTCAAAGAAGACACTTGTCCTCAGAGAATCTGACAAATTAAGCAGGAATTTTATTTTCCCCTCTGTGTATTTTGGACAACTGAATACTGATCAAGAATGTGGGATACAGTAAAAAACTTCAAAATATTTGACAAAACAAGTAGAAATCTCAAAAGCTAGAAACTCATTTAAAAAAATACTAAGTGAAAAGGAATCAGCAAATTTTATTCACCAATCACTGCATTCTAAAAAATGCATTAAGATGACGAGTGCTTTAAAACAACTGTTGGCCAGGCACAGCGGCTCACACCTGTAATCCCAGCACTTTGGGAGACTGAGGTGGATCACTTGAGCCAGGAGTTCAAGACCAACCTGGGCAACATAGTGAGACACCTTCTCTATTTAAAAATATATATATATTCTTAAAAAATAAAATAAAGCAACTGTTGAATGTAATGTCCTCCTACTTGGCAAATGATTACACTTGCCTCTCTAGATCCAAGTGTTTATATTTGCACTTGGTCTTAATTCTAAGTTAGTTTTGAACTCCCTGCAGTAACCTTTTTAGTCTGTCTCTAATTCCTCAGAAAACAAATTCGTGGCTGATGAATCCTTCCTGAAGACTTTGCCGCTTACAATAAGTTTTATTGCCTTCCGAAACCATGGGTAAAAGAAAGCATATATCAAGGGGTTCATAGCTGAGTTATAATAAACACACCACACTAAAATCTCATAAACATAAGGAGGAGTTATGAAATTCATATAAGCATCGATCACTGCATCAATGATGTATGGCAGCCAAGAGACAAGAAATGCTGCCATAGCGATGCCCAAGGTCTTGGCAACCTTTCTCTCTCTTTTTGCTACTCTTTCCTTGTAACTCTCTGAGGAGGACTGGGCTTGGCTGGCTGTACTTTCAATCTTCCTAGCCTGATGCTTTGCCACCAAAAAGATCTTGCCATAGATAAACACCATGACAACAGTGGGAACAAAGAAGAGAAGAAAACAAAGTAGAACCCAGTTTTGATTCAGCGGAGCCTGACAACCTCCTACACAGGTGAGGGCAACTACTAGCTCCTCAATTCCTTCTTCGTTGGCTCCCGTGTAAAAGATAGAAAAGCTATAGGTGACAGAAAAGAACCACGAGAGAACAATACATATTCCTGAAACGGAGAGAGTAATCTTGATTGGGTAGGTCAGAGGATCAGTAACAGCAATATATCTATCCACAGAGATACAGCATAAATGAAATAAAGAAGCAAAACAGAAAAATGTATCAAAGCATGTGTGAAATTTACAGTAACTCTCCCCGAAATACCAGCAGCTCTCCACCGACCTCACTGTGCTGAAGGGCATCACGGTGACTCCCACCAAAAAGTCGGCACAGGCCAGGGACGCGATCAGCAAGTTTGTAGGTGTATGCAGCTGTTTGAAGTGAAGGATGGCAACAATGACCAGTAAGTTCCCAAACACTGCCAGCACGGCCCCAAAGCCAAGGACAGCATACAGGATTGCCCGAGGACGCAGAGAGTGAGGGGTTTTAATGAAGGATCCATTCACATTCTCATAACACAGTTCCACAGCCTGGGCTTGGGAGAAATTGTTCACCATCACCTTCTTGTTTGAATTATTTTAAGGTTCTCAGATTTCTGATTTCAGCAATTTAAACAAAGAAGAAGGCAATGGCAGAGTCTTCTAGGAGGAAAAAAAATTTCCAGTTAAAATTATTGAAAGTTCATGAATTTTTTTTGCGTATTAACTATAACCTCTTGATCTTGTCAAAAAGTATTTCCACATTTTAATATATTTAATGTAGGAGCACATTACAGAAAGCCATTAAAAATACAGTCAAATATGTTACTAAATAAATGACTAGCAATACACTTAGTCCAATGATATGTAGGTAGTATAGAGCATAATTTGCTAATCAGTAGAAAAATGATCTTTGGGGTCTTATTTACCTGTCGAAAACTATCTGTAACTGTCCAAGTTGAGAAATAATTAGGCTACCAAAGACTGAGCTTTATTTACTAAGCTATTTTCCCTGAGTATCAATTTAGCAATAATGACAAACTATACTTCATTTTTTTCAGAAGGAAGAAATAAATTACATCTCCCTCAAACTATAAGCTCAAAATCCCTATAGTATAGAGTGTGAAGACTGAGGAAAAGTTTACTCATAATAGCTTTAAACTCACTCTAGAAATGCATTTCTATTGTTTATATTCTCTGAGTTTGTATTTTTTTTCTTTTATATTCATTCATGGTTTGGAGAGCTTGGGTAATCTGGAGAACTATTCTGATCAAATTGATATTAAACAGTGTAAAAGTATTTTCTAGTCTAATAATGTTGTGTCTAAAATTAATAAAAATGTATTAAAATAAGCAATAACTTACCTGGCACCTCACTTCCCATCCTTAAAAAAACTGGATGATTTTAAACTATCACAAAGGAGTAGGCAACAACCGGGTGAGCTAGAGGGGTGTTTTTAGACAAGCCATGTACCTGGAAGGACAAATTCATACTAAGTCATCTAAAGTTCAGATAGGACGAAGTTGATTTCTCTGGGTGTTTGAGTTTGTTCTTATAGAGGCATATGATCTTATGAAGGTTTACAGAGATTATCTAACAAAGGTGAGTATTTAATTTTTACTTCATTTAACCATGAATAAGTTTAATCCTGCATCTGAATCTGAATCTTTGAGCTAGAGACTGAGCTACTTTTATTACCATTTACCTCATGCCATGTTGACCAGGCTCGGTGGCTCAGCCTGTCATCCCAGCACTTTGGGAGGCCGAAGCAAGTGGATTGCCTGAGGTCGTGGGTTCAAGACCAGCCTGGCCAACTTGGCAAGACCTCGTCTCTACAAAATAAAAAAAATTAAAAAATTAAAATAAAACACAAGAATAAAATACAGTTCACTTTTAATCAGGGTGATCCATTCAACATATGCATGTATACAAATTTCTGCCAATCTCTGCTTATCACTATCAGCACCTCAACACAGTCTTCTTTCTAATACTACTTAACAACAAGAATACTTACTAAAAATATTTCCGTTCTACTAGCATCATCTCCATAAATCCTTTAACACAAAGGAAAAGAGGATGTGGAAGAACCCAACGACACTTGTCTCATGGAATAAAAATATGGGATTTCGTATTATCTGTTACATTTGTTCCTAGAGGGAAATAATCTTCAAATAGATTTTGATCAATGCAACAGAATTGTTTTCTACAGATATAATTTATTAAGTAGGATGAGCTCAGACACAGAAATACCACCAGTACCTGCTGACAAGATGTGATAATGATAAACAGCTCCTTTAAACCCATTTGAACTTTCCACAATGCTGACATTTCCAGCAAAGAATCAATCTTAAAGAGCTGTATGCAAAGTAAATTTTAACTGTCAGGAGCAATGTACCCATATAGCTACACGTGCAGAATCAGAATCTCATGTAAGGGGCCCAGGTCATTAGCCTGTTTGATGACCACATAGTAAAAGCCATCAGCACTTGCCAGAATTCAATCAAATGTCATTTTAATGCCTGTAAAAAGCTGAGACACTACCAAACAAGAATATATGAAGAAAAAATAATCAGATTCAAAGGTGTAAAAAGCTAGATGGAAAATCCCCATAGATAGAATCTTCCTTTAGAAAAATAATACAAGATTGCAAAAGCAAAATTAGGTCTGTGCATGTAGTTGAGAAAATAAATCACAACAGTTTCTTAGTTTCTACCTAAAGGGACTTGAGCTTGACGACCCACCTTGTCATCAATCATTCTTGTGGATTCCGATGTATTCCAAAAGTAGGAACCACTGGTCTAGACCTTCCTGATCCAAATCTTTATCCACTTAGTAGTCAAAAAGACCAAACAGGAACCCAAAATGCATATGCTAAATTTAGGGGAAATCTGCTTCAGTTTGTTCAGGCTGCTGCAACAAAATACCTTAAACTGGGTAATTTATAAACAACAGAGTTTACACCGCACGGTTCTGGAGGCTGGGAAGACATCAGCAGATTTGAACTGTGACGAAGGCCTGTTCCTCATAGGTGGTGCCTTCTGTGTCCTCACATGGCAAAAGGAGCAAGGATGCTCTCTCAGACCTCTTTTGTAAGGGCACTAACCCTGCTCTTATGACTTAATCATCTCCCAAACACATCATCCCTTATTACCATCACTCTGGGGTATATTTTAACATATGAATCTGTAGGGGTGGGGACACATACATTAAACTATAGCAATAGCTAAACTTTGCAAATTGGAAGTTGGTTCAAGTGTATTTAGGCTTTCTGCTTTACATAACATCTGTGTTTTGAAAGTACAGTGAGAATACCCAGATTTGGGTTTTCAGATCCTTAGTAAAGCAGGTATTGAAACAGAAAATGTGTTTAAAATGTTGGAAAATAGGCTGGGTGCAGTGGCTCACACCTATAATCCCAGCACCTTGGGAGGCCAAGGTGGGAAGATTATCTGAGCTCCCAGGTTCAAGACCAGCCTGGGCAACTTGGCGAGACCTCATCTCTACAATAAATCAAAAAATTAGCAAGGCATAGTGGCATGTGCCTGTAGTTCCAGCTACTTGGAAGGCTGAGACAGAAGGACCACCTGCGTCTAGAAGGTCAAGGCTGCAGTGGCCATGAGCGTGCCATTGTACTCTAGCCTGGGCAACAAAGTGAGACTCCAACTCAACTCAACTCAAATGAAATCAAATGTTGGAAAATAAAGCTTGTAAAAATTAATTATTCCCTAGTTTATCTTATCTTATGAATCTCTATTTTTAAGCACTGAGTTCACTACAAGAGAAAAATTTGTTCAACACTAAAATTCCAGCCAATGTTGGAAGTAGATCTATAATAAATACTTCTTTAACCTATATTAAGGTAAACTGTGTTCAAGATACATAATGAAAGAACAGACTGAGAGTGGGAAGCCATTTTTTATCTTGTTCTTAAAACCCTAACACAATGATGGGAAAGTGAAGGCTATGTCCTGGAGAAATGCATTTTTTAAGTATTGTTCCTAAACCCTAACACAATGATGAGAAAGTAGAGGCTGTGTCCTGGAGAAATACATGCTCTAGGTAAAGATTAACTTTGCAGACTTTGTCTTTTCAGAAACACAAACTCCTTAAACATGACCAATACTGGCCTATTGTGTTCCTAAACCCTAACACAATGATGAGAAAGTAGAGGCTGTGTCCTGGAGAAATACATACTCTAGGTAAAGATCAACTTTGCAGACTTTGTCTTTTCAGAAACACAAACTCTTTAAACATGACCAGTACTGGCCTATTGTGTTCCTAAACCCTAACACAATGATGAGAAAGTCGAGGCTGTGTCCTGGAGAAATACATACTCTAGGTAAAGATCAACTTTGTAGACTTTGTCTTTTCAGAAACACAAACTCTTTAAACATGACCAGTACTGGCCTATTGTGTTCCTAAACCCTAACACAATGATGAGAAAGTCGAGGCTGTGTCCTGGAGAAATGCATACTCTAGGTAAAGATTAACTTTGCAGACTTTGTCTTTTCAGAAACTCCTTAAGCATGACCAGTATCAACCCACTGTATACTCAGTGCATACTGACCAGGACTCCCTTCAGGGTCTCCAAGACATCCACAAGTGGTCAACAAGGAAGTCATGGCAGTCATATCTACCTGATTGCAACATCTCCAGGGAAGAGGATTTAAGCCAGGGCTCAGGGGCTACAGGGCCACACTCATCTAGAGTGTAGGCCCACATCCTGCCTGTGGGAAGTGAACCTTTCTTAAATAAATCTTTTCTTCTTTCCACCTCTTTGTGTGTTGCAAATCTTTGCGTTACTCAGATTTCTGGTTACCAGCATGCATGCATCTCCAGCATGCTGGCTCTGGAGGTGCTGTGCCCCTCACCATCCATCCATCCGCTCTCACCCTATCCATACCCTAACACATAAGACATACTAGATGTTTTCAAAAAGAAAATACCTTCCCTCTTCTCTACCACTCTTTTTCAAGATCAGAAAAATAAAAATCTGCACTGAGTCTAACACCACTCTCTTCTAGAATTCTCTCATGCAAGGCAGTGTAAACTGGCAGGTAATACTCTGGCTCTACAGTTAGATGGCCTAAATGGAAGTCCTGGATTTGCCACCTTGTAGTAACTTTTTGCAAGTACCTTCATTTCTTTATCAGTAGAATGAACTAAGAATGTCTCATGTGAGGATAATTTATGTTGATTGAAAGAAGGTACCTATAGAAAACTAGAATAGACTTAGCTTAGCCTTTTTGCCTCAACATAGCCAATTTTGTTTAAACTTTACCCCTGACACGCTCTAAATGTAGCACAGGTTAGACATAGATAAATTTCCAACAGGCAGGTTTTAGGAAGCATTCAGACATTTCGCTGCAGGCCAAGCAGCAGCCTACCCCATCCCCTCACCTCAGCAAATCTCCATCAGATGCAATCCATGGACAGAGCCATAGAAATGATAATAGACCACATTTTGGTCAAAGAGTTTGTGGATTGCAAATGTCTGACAAAGTCTCTTGCAGGAAAACTCTCTCCCCTCGTCTCCTCCCATCTAGCCTACCACATGAGGGTATGAGATGCTAACATCTGGCAAC